TCAATCTTACCAAAAATCTAACAACATTTAGGTCCTTATGTTGCTTCTGCCAAACTGCTACATCAATAGTAAAAGGATGATAAGTCTTCATCTCCTCACAAACTCCCTGAACATGGGAGTAATAATCTGCAGGACTCAGAGTACCGTGCTCCAACTGAAAGTACTCCTTGCACACCTCATACGCACGGGTAAAATTACCTGAACCAAAATACATAGTAGCCAAGTGATCCCATATCTCTTTGGTAGTATCAAGATAGAGTAGAGAAGTGTTAATACTAGGCTCAATGCTATTCAACAATAAAAAAATAATCTGAGCATCCTCTTGTTCCCACTGATCATACCCAGAAGTGTCTTCCTTCGGTTTAGAATTCACCAAATATTTCTTAAATCCTTTACTTCGAAGAAAAACTTGAACAGATCGGGACCATAAAGTGTAATTAGTCCCATTGAGTTTAACAGAAGTCATGGGACCATTGATAAGAGTAGGAGGCAAAGATGGAGTGATATTTTGCTTGGGTTCCATAATAGTGTAACAAATAGCAAATAAGAAGTATTGCAATGCGGAATCGAGATGGAAATAAGAGCTGGATCACTGAACCGGACTAGTTGGACTTGTTGGAGGGCTGAATCGGGCTAGAAATAGTGACTGGACCACTGAACCGGGTTGGAAATAGGGACTGGAGGGCTGAACCGGGCTAGAAATAGGGGCTGAACCACTGAACCGAGTTGGAAATAAGGACTGAAGCACTGAACCGGGTTGTTTGAGCCCTCTGGATTGCTGAACCGGGCCAGTTTTAACTGCTAGATCACAGAACCGGGCCGGTTTATCCTCCTGAATCACTGAACTAGACCGGACTGGTCTTAAGTTGGACCAAGTCTGGGTTGAACCGTGGGTTGAACTTAGACTTAAAATAATTTAAGTTAATGGACTTGACCCGATCCAACCCAACCCGTTGGACCCCTTCTCCTTCATTGAGATTAGGGTTCCCAGAGAAAATTTCCTCTGGTCTTTGACGGCGCCACATACAAACAATAGACCACCACCCCCATAGACGGCACCACACACAGACGAGAACTGTGACACACCACCACAGTCACACCACCATCACAAAGATCCTTCGACTGCGCCTCTTCACCACAACAAACAACAGACCACAACCAAGCTTCGGCAAACACAGTCGAACTTCGGCGAACACAGAGACAACTACAGACCACACCACAACAACACCACAACAGAAGATTAATTATTCAGAATATATATTTATGATTGTAATATTAGGTTCTGATATCATGTTAAGTTTAAAAAATTGACATAATATTAGAGACAATATTTAGGGAGAAACAGAGAGAGGTTAAAATAACTTAATCTAGCTCTCATACATCGCTTATATTTATAGTTAACTTACAATAATAAGAATTACACATACACCCTCTTCGTATTAACAATTTACACATACTCCCCTACTATTCTTAACACTTGTAAAGTCCCTTCAAATATGGGTCTGTTTTGTGTTACACATTGACCTTACACTTTCAATCAAGCTCCATTTGGCAAATGGTTTTGGGAGGTATTCTCAGGGGGAGCTTTGTGGATAAAGGTGTTGGATAGGGTGTTTGGGGTGATCAAGGTAGATGGTGTACTTAAAGAGTTAAAAAGGATTGGAGCTCCTCATTGTGTTGGGTTGTGGAAATCTAGTCTTGTGGTGGGTAACAGCTCTGAAAGCATATCACTATGGAAGTCTGAGAGTTTGGCCAGATTTGTTAGTGGTTATCAATCCTCGGGGATAATTTTCATTCTCAAGTTCAGATTACTATTAATCTAGGAAACACAAATACTCGGCGGGAGGTCGACGTGGCGATGTCGGACATGACCGACATGGATACCTGTGGGACACGGTCAGACACATGTCCGACACTTCTACAGGTGTCCTGAACAGTGAATAGAGATTTTTTGTTGCCGGATACAACTCGGATACAATGGGATACCAAGGGATATGGGGTTGAAAATAGAAAAGAAAAAAAAAAGGAAATTTTGTTATGTCGACAGAGAATAGAGAAGGAGAGGCAAAGGGACATACTGGATTTGCCTTCTTCTTCTTCCTCTCTCATCCTGCTTCTTGAGATCATGTTTGCTGTTCTAGGTTTCTTTTTCTTCTCTCTCTATCTCTTGCTCTCGATTGAATAGAGACATGAACACACGATACAAGCAAAAAAAAAAAATAGAGCCACGTTCTTCTTCTTTTAATATTTTTTTTTTGGTTGGTATAATTCATTTATTAGTTAAATAAATTAACCCACAGTCCACTTTGGTGTAAGCCCACATTCAAATTTGNTTCCCACTGATCATACCCAGAAGTGTCTTCCTTCGGTTTAGAATTCACCAAATATTTCTTAAATCCTTTACTTCGAAGAAAAACTTGAACAGATCGGGACCATAAAGTGTAATTAGTCCCATTGAGTTTAACAGAAGTCATGGGACCATTGATAAGAGTAGGAGGCAAAGATGGAGTGATATTTTGCTTGGGTTCCATAATAGTGTAACAAATAGCAAATAAGAAGTATTGCAATGCGGAATNCACAGTCCACTTTGGTGTAAGCCCACATTCAAATTTGGTGTTAGCCCACTGTCCAATTCTAATATATTAGTCCACTGCCCAATTTAATATTAACCCATTGTCCAATATTAACTAACTATTCAATGATTTTTAGATCAAATTATTAATGTTATTTATATAAAAAATATATAATATTATTTTAATTAACTATATCCTTACTGTACCCATGTCCAATATTTTGAAATTTTGAAATTTTGTCGTTTTTCCGNGGGCTAGAAATAGGGGCTGAACCACTGAACCGAGTTGGAAATAAGGACTGAAGCACTGAACCGGGTTGTTTGAGCCCTCTGGATTGCTGAACCGGGCCAGTTTTAACTGCTAGATCACAGAACCGGGCCGGTTTATCCTCCTGAATCACTGAACTAGACCGGACTGGTCTTAAGTTGGACCAAGTCTGGGTTGAACCGTGGGTTGAACTTAGACTTAAAATAATTTAAGTTAATGGACTTGACCCGATCCAACCCAACCCGTTGGACCCCTTCTCCTTCATTGAGATTAGGGTTCCCAGAGAAAATTTCCTCTGGTCTTTGACGGCGCCACATACAAACAATAGACCACCACCCCCATAGACGGCACCACACACAGACGAGAACTGTGACACACCACCACAGTCACACCACCATCACAAAGATCCTTCGACTGCGCCTCTTCACCACAACAAACAACAGACCACAACCAAGCTTCGGCAAACACAGTCGAACTTCGGCGAACACAGAGACAACTACAGACCACACCACAACAACACCACAACAGAAGATTAATTATTCAGAATATATATTTATGATTGTAATATTAGGTTCTGATATCATGTTAAGTTTAAAAAATTGACATAATATTAGAGACAATATTTAGGGAGAAACAGAGAGAGGTTAAAATAACTTAATCTAGCTCTCATACATCACTTATATTTATAGTTAACTTACAATAATAAGAATTACACATACACCCTCTTCGTATTAATAATTTACACATACTCCCCTACTATTCTTAACACTTGTAAAGTCCCTTCAAATATGGGTCTGTTTTGTGTTACACATTGACCTTACACTTTCAATCAAGCTCCATTTGGCAAATGGTTTTGGGAGGTATTCTCAGGGGGAGCTTTGTGGATAAAGGTGTTGGATAGGGTGTTTGGGGTGATCAAGGCAGATGGTGTACTTAAAGAGTTAAAAAGGATTGGAGCTCCTCATTGTGTTGGGTTGTGGAAATCTAGTCTTGTGGTGGGTAACAGCTCTGAAAGCATGTCACTATGGAAGTCTGAGAGTTTGGCCAGATTTGTTAGTGGTCATCAATCCTCGGGGATAATTTTCATTCTCAAGTTCAGATTACTATTAATCTACGAAACACAGATACTCGGCGGGAGGTCGACGTGGCGATGTCGGACACGACTGACATGGATACGTGTGGGACACGGTCAGACACATGTCCGACACTTCTACAGGTGTCCTGAACAGTGAATAGAGATTTTTTGTTGCCGGATACGACTCGGATACAATGGGATACCAAGGGATATGAGGTTGAAAATAGAAAAGAAAAAAAAAAGGAAATTTTGTTATGTCGACAGAGAATAGAGAAGGAGAGGCAAAGGGACATACTGGATTTGCCTTCTTCTTCTTCCTCTCTCATCCTGCTTCTTGAGATCATGTTTGCTGTTCTAGGTTTCTTTTTCTTCTCTCTCTATCTCTTGCTCTCGATTGAATAGAGACATGAACACACGATACAAGCAAAAAAAAAAAATAGAGCCACGTTCTTCTTCTTTTAATATTTTTTTTTTGGTTGGTATAATTCATTTATTAGTTAAATAAATTAACCCACAGTCCACTTTGGTGTAAGCCCACATTCAAATTTGGTGTTAGCCCACTGTCCAATTCTAATATATTAGTCCACTGCCCAATTTAATATTATCCCATTGTCCAATATTAACTAACTATTCAATGATTTTTAGGTCAAATTATTAATGTTATTTATATAAAAAATATATAATATTATTTTAATTAACTATATCCTTACTGTACCCGTGTCCAATATTTTGAAATTTTGAAATTATGTCATTTTTCCANAACACAGTCGAACTTCGGCGAACACAGAGACAACTACAGACCACACCACAACAACACCACAACAGAAGATTAATTATTCAGAATATATATTTATGATTGTAATATTAGGTTCTGATATCATGTTAAGTTTAAAAAATTGACATAATATTAGAGACAATATTTAGGGAGAAACAGAGAGAGGTTAAAATAACTTAATCTAGCTCTCATACATCACTTATATTTATAGTTAACTTACAATAATAAGAATTACACATACACCCTCTTCGTATTAATAATTTACACATACTCCCCTACTATTCTTAACACTTGTAAAGTCCCTTCAAATATGGGTCTGTTTTGTGTTACACATTGACCTTACACTTTCAATCAAGCTCCATTTGGCAAATGGTTTTGGGAGGTATTCTCAGGGGGAGCTTTGTGGATAAAGGTGTTGGATAGGGTGTTTGGGGTGATCAAGGTAGATGGTGTACTTAAAGAGTTAAAAAGGATTGGAGCTCCTCATTGTGTTGGGTTGTGGAAATCTAGTCTTGTGGTGGGTAACAGCTCTGAAAGCATATCACTATGGAAGTCTGAGAGTTTGGCCAGATTTGTTAGTGGTTATCAATCCTCGGGGATAATTTTCATTCTCAAGTTCAGATTACTATTAATCTAGGAAACACAAATACTCGGCGGGAGGTCGACGTGGCGATGTCGGACATGACCGACATGGATACCTGTGGGACACGGTCAGACACATGTCCGACACTTCTACAGGTGTCCTGAACAGTGAATAGAGATTTTTTGTTGCCGGATACAACTCGGATACAATGGGATACCAAGGGATATGGGGTTGAAAATAGAAAAGAAAAAAAAAAGGAAATTTTGTTATGTCGACAGAGAATAGAGAAGGAGAGGCAAAGGGACATACTGGATCTGCCTTCTTCTTCTTCCTCTCTCATCCTGCTTCTTGAGATCATGTCTGCTATTCTAGGTTTCTTTTTCTTCTCTCTCTATCTCTTGCTCTCGATTGAATAGAGACATGAACACACGATACAAGCAAAAAAAAAAAATAGAGCCACGTTCTTCTTCTTTTAATATTTTTTTTTTGGTTGGTATAATTCATTTATTAGTTAAATAAATTAACCCACAGTCCACTTTGGTGTAAGCCCACATTCAAATTTGGTGTTAGCCCACTGTCCAATTCTAATATATTAGTCCACTGCCCAATTTAATATTATCCCATTGTCCAATATTAACTAACTATTCAATGATTTTTAGATCAAATTATTAATGTTATTTATATAAAAAATATATAATATTATTTTAATTAACTATATCCTTACTGTACCCATGTCCAATATTTTGAAATTTTGAAATTTTGTCGTTTTTCCATGTCTGTATCGTATCGAATACGACATTCATGTCTGTATCCATGCTTCCTAGCTATTAACCAAGAAGCCATAGTATCAGAGCTTGTTTTGGTTTTGGTTCCTAGAAGATTGTGGCATCCTATTTTTGCGAGCTGTCCGAAGCTGTTAGCCAGAGGAGATGTATGCTTACATTGGATGTCTCTATAACATGGGTTGTCAGGGTAGGAGCTGATCTCTCAGTTGGAAGCATGAGATCAATGGGGCTTTTTCGGTGAAGTCTTTTTATTCAACAATCAACTCATTGGGGACTGTCTTTGTACAGACATTTGTAGGACTAAGACGTCCATAAAGTTGGACTTCTTTGTGTGGACAGCTCTATTAGAAGCCATTTTGACGGCTGATAACTTTAGGAAGAGGGGGAAGATTCTTGTGGGCTGGTGTTGTAGGTGTAAGAAAGCCTGGGCAATCGGTAAATCATTTGCTATTACACTGTGAAGTGGCTCAAGGATTGTGTCATTTCTTTTGTCTTTTCTGGTGTGCTTTCGGATAACCTAAGTTGGTTGAGGCTCTTCTTAGTTGTTGGAGAGGATGCGATGTTCAGAAGTAGCTTTGGAGAAAATGGGATGTGCACCTCTTTGCTTGGAAGTCCACAATTGGAAATAGTGGAGTAGAAGATTTGTTGAGGGAGCTAAGCTTTCCATTTATCAGCTCAAATTGTTTATGTTGATTCTTCTTTTCTTTTGCATATATGAAGTTTTCTTGAGGCCTTTAGACACTTCTATAGAGTCCAGGAGAATTTTGTTTTCGAGTGTATCCCTGTTTGAGCTTGGGTTTGTGATGTTGGTGCTTTTTTGTTGAATGTTCATATATATATATATAGCTTACGCTTTCATCGGCAAATTGTTGCCTGAGGTCTACATGTACATGCGCTTTTTTATTGAATGTTCATATATATATATAGCTTACGTTTTCATCAGCAAATTGTTGCCAAAGTTCTACATGTACATGAGTTTTCTTGCATCTTGCTCCTTGATGGATACTTATTTATGAAGGCTTGGACAGATAATTGCAACCGAAAATCAGCCAGTGCGATGGACAACTCCGCTTGGACTTCCTGTTGTACAGCCTTACCGCAAAATAGGAAGGCACCTTGTGAGTGTTGTACAGGTTTCTCATATTATATGATTTATAATTCTGTTATGAGTGAAAATTCATTGTGTTGATTTTGATGCAGGTCAAGACCTCTCTTCAGGTGTTAACTCTGCAGCGGGAAACTGAAAAGGTGATTCTACCCACTTTCCAATCCACTGGTGTGTATGTCTGTTTTGAATCGCATACACCCTATCTGGGACAGATTTGTTTCTTAGTAAGATGAGACAATGGATAAACCAGAGGTATCCTTGGATCACAACATCTTACTTTGCTACTTTTTGTTAGAGCATCCAATTTAAAACCAATTGGCAATGAGTGGAGTGACCCCTCAAGTATATAAACCAATCTTAGGGGGTTCTAATTATTCAATGTGGGATACAAGCTCTCTTAAGACCCTCCCCCACATTGGACCCAGTCTTGCACATGGGGTCAACAAAGAAACGAACAATCATGCATACCAGAAAATTCAAATGAGTAAGAGAATTGGTCCACTGACCTCTTAAGGCCCAACTCTGATACCATATTAGAGTATCCAACTCAAAACCAATTGGCAATGAGTGGAGTGAACCCAACCAACCTTGGGTGGTCTTAAATGTGATACAAGCTCTCTTAACACCTTTCACTCTATATGTTCTACAGATGGGTTTCTCTAGAAGACGCGACAAGAAATTAGGGGTGCAACTTGAGTTGGGCAACCCGATTTCAACCTGAGCCCAACCCGAAAAAATTAAGGTTTGGGCAAGGATTTTTAATACTTGGGTTGGGCTTGGGTCAAAAAACTCCAACCTGAATTCAATTTGAGTTGGGCTCGGGTTAAGGTCTTGTTAATCTGAGTTCAACCCAAACCCGAAAAATTAAAAAAAAATTTATATATATATATATATATATATATAAAGCATTAGCACTGGTTTTTCATTTTTGTTCTATCGTTCTCTTTGCCTCTCTCGTTCTCTCAGCCTCTCTCGTTAAAAACTTGATTGAAGTTATTGGTTGTTAATTTAAGTGAATATTATGTAATATATGTATTAGGTTTAGAACAGCAGGCCTATTTTGAGCTCTACCCGAATTGAACCCGTAAAGTAACTCGAAATCATCAACCCGAGCCCGCGCCGAATTAAACTCGGGCAATCCTCGAGTTGAGTTTCCCAACCCGAGGTAGGGTTAGANGGTTGTTAATTTAAGTGAATATTATGTAATATATGTATTAGGTTTAGAACAGCAAGCCTATTTTGAGCTCTATCCGAATTGAACCCGTAAAGTAACCCGAAATCATCAACCCGAGCCCGCGCCGAATTAAACTCGGGCAATGCTCAAGTTGAGTTCCCCAACCCGAGGTAAGGTTAGGGTTAGGGTTAGGGTTGAAGATTATATACCTAAGGTTGGGCTAGGGTTGATTATCCAACCCGCCCGAGTTGCACCCCCACAAGAAATAACNGCAATCCTCGAGTTGAGTTTCCCAACCCGAGGTAGGGTTAGAGTTGAAGATTATATACCTAGGGTTGGGCTAGGGTTGATTGTCCAACCCGCCCGAGTTGCACCCCCACAAGATATAAACCCGTTATCCTCAAATCACAACATTTATCCCATCCATTCCTTGGGCAGCTACCATATGATGTTTTATTGTAATTTGAGACAAGTATAGGATATTAAGGGGATCTCTGAACTAACATAATTTGGCGTGTTAATCATCCAACTGGTAGTTAAGAACCCTGACGGAGACATGTGAGGGCACTCCTTTTGTCCTGAGGACACATCAGTCTACAGATTTTTTAGTAGGATTCTCACATTAGGAAATGAACCAGAACTTGGTCTGACAACCTGTAGAGTGAATTAAAATTTAGGCCAACCTTGTCTCTGACTAACTCGATTCTTTCAGTTTTCCTGTTCATCTGGTCGTTACAAATCTCTTTCAAGGTTAAATTGTTTGCGGACCCAAAATCTCTATCTTGATTGTTCTTTGTCCATTCTAGGTCATGGTCAAGAGGCAGAGAACAGCTTTTCCACCAAATTTTGTCCACTCCCTTGATGGTTCGCATATGATGATGACTGCAGTGGCCTGCAAAAAAGCAGGCTTAAACTTTGCAGGTTCTTTTAGTTGTTTCCTTTTGTTTCACAATCCACACCACTATATCCCATGTGTCATTGCATTTCTGTTTTGTCGACTTCTAAATTAACATATACTTCATACAATCACAGGTGTTCATGATTCTTATTGGACACATGCCTGTGATGTCGATGAAATGAACAGGTTACTAAGAGAGAAGTTTGTGGAACTCTATGAAACACCAATACTGGAGAATGTATGGTATCTGGACTATCTTCTTTTTTGGAATGCTTGTTATGACTTTAAGATCAGTGTTTTTTGGCCAAATATCATGAATAAACTGGCGTTTAAATTAGAAGTTCAACGAAACCAGCTTAATCGATATTACCTTGTTATACGTTTGTCATATTTTCTTCGGTAATCAAATAGGTGCATTTTATTGAAATAAAGAAGAATATTTAAGTTGATAGAAATTCTTCATTGTGTATATTGACATCATTATAACAGTAAAGTTAAANTATTACCTTGTTATACGTTTGTCATATTTTCTTCGGTAATCAAATAGGTGCATTTTAATGAAATAAAGAAGAATATTTAAGTTGATAGAAATTCTTCATTGTGTATATTGACTTTATTATAACAGTAAAGTTAAGNGAAATTCTTCATTGTGTATATTGACATCATTATAACAGTAAAGTTAAATGCATTTTTGGACTTCTTCTATGGTCCCTGGTTCAAAGTCCATTTCCATTTTCAAAATATGCACATACATGTGTGCTCTTCTAAGCGATCAATAGTTCAAGCAATGATTAGAGACCACTATTTGACTTGCGATCTGGGAGTAGGGATGTTATGCTCTCGAAAATTCAACTTTAGCGTTGAGTGAACATCTAAATNGTCCATTTCCATTTTCAAAATATGCACATACATGTGTGCTCTTCTAAGCGATCAATACTTAAAGCAATGATTAGAGACCACTATTTGACTTGTGATCTGGGAGTAGGGATGTTATGCTCTCGAAAATTCAACTTTAGCGTTGAGTGAACATCTAAAACTTTTGTTATCTTGTTATCCTAGTCGATCTGATCGTTCTTCCTTTGTGAATAGCTGTTGGAGAGCTTTCAGAAGTCTTTCCCCTCATTGACTTTCCCACCCTTGCCAGAAAGGGGAGACTTTGATCTGGGAGATGTTCTCGAGTCAGACTATTTCTTCAACTGAATGGATTCAAAAGGTAACTCTTCCTCTTGCTTTACAGTGACACTGTCATTACACACGCTTCCCCCCCTCTGCTGTTTCGAGCTGCTTCCTTCAATGGGCAAGGTAAGAGACNGAATGGATTCAAAAGGTAACTCTTCCTCTTGCTTTACAGTGACACTGTCATTACACATGCTTCCCCCCCTCTGCTGTTTCGAGCTGCTTCCTTCAATGGGCAAGGTAAGAGACAGAGGAATGGTGCTTGTACCCCTGATATGCTAGGCATTCTAGTCATGGTCTTCTGTACCTTCCTGCATGAAAAGCCTGTCCAAGGTACAAATCTAATCGGTAGATTCTTCAACTCCAAGCTTCGGGTTCTCTTGATCAGCAAAAAAGTTATACATGGGTGCATGTGTTTACTTTGGGATTAGGTAGAAGCTTTTTATGAACAAGATTCATTGATCAAGAACCTCCCAGGTGGTGGTTGATAACTTGAGATTACCCAATACCAACCATAGCTCATCGACAAATCATGTCTTAATTTTAGAAGATTATCTTTGCCAATCGTTACGAGTTATTGAATTCCACATCAACCAAGTGTTTTGATAGGGGATATATGCCAAAAGCAGCAAAACTCCTTGAAGGTTTACTGCGCTGAAGTACATGCAGAATTGCAATCGACTCTCCCATGGGTGACATAATTGCAGCTTTTGTATCAATACTTGTATATAAGCAGTGCCAGAAATTTATCCTCGTTTTGTGGACCACTTGGTTTAGTTACCATGTATCTATAAATTGTATATTTGCAATTAGCAGATTTGTTTTTAATGCTGTTTCAAGAAGAAAAAAATGAGGTTATTCAAAAAACATTGTTTGTAATCAAATTTGCTTTTATTTTCAAGCTTTCACACAAGAAAGCAAGGCTATTGCCAACAACATGGTTTGGATGAGCTTGTTAATCGGGTTAGATCTTAGGGGATTTGTGTAAAAAATATTTTATTTATATTTAATTTATTTATTAATTTGTGTCTAACGAATTGTTTTATATCGGGTTTATGTTGTGTATAGATTGTGTATAACCAATATATACTGAAGTCGTGCATTGTATTTGTTTAATTGGTTTCACTCATACTTGATTCATGTATTAATTGTGTCGTGTAAAATCTAATTGTTTATGAAATAAATGATTTGAACATATCATATCATGTTAACAAGTTGAATTATGTTTTAACACTCCTAAATTTTGATCACCTTTTTCAGTAAAAACACATTAGGGTATGGTACCTATAAAAAANTTCCGAAACGTTTCGGACGTTTCGGACGTGTCGACACGACATTTTGATCCTTGATTCAGAGAAGCCACATTAGTAGTTTCAGTAATGTTCAAGAAAATTACTCTGGATATTTTGAGCAACACCGTCAATCAACTGGCCAGTTGAGAAAGAAAGGGGAGAAAGAGAAAGTGAAAGTGATATGGCTATGCAAAATACAGTGCTAAAGCACATAATTTTTTTTATAAACTTGTGTCGGCATCTATTCTATTTAAATGATCATACAGGTGCACTAGAATTTTATTTTTTCCAGTGAATGGAATCAAAATTAAAGAATCGTAAACCTAGTCACGACTTTAACATGCATGGCAATTGTTACAGTTTTTCCCCATATTTTGATAGCGAACTTTCTGATTATGTACCTCAAATATTCTTCATCGTCTTCTGTTGCACCTTTCTTCTTACCATGAGACATCCTTCCAGCACGTGCACCCATACTCTCCCGGATACTTTCATTGAGCGTCTCTTCCAAATTTTCAAGCTCCTCCATAACCTAAGCCAAGTAAAAAATAAAATTAAGAAAATGACTTATATGAGGAAAGAACTACACTGCATCCGAATGCAACAGGAAGAGGTGGCAAATTATAAACCCTTTCACATCAATGTTGTACCTGTGAAATTCGCTGTTCATTCCGGGCAATCTGAGTTTGTTGGCCCTGAGTCAACCCACCTTGAGCAATATCCTTTGAACGAATAGCATCTATTTCTTTCTTCATATTAGCAATCTGTAGTCGAAATACAAAGAGTATTGGTTAACTAGCATGACCATAAATTTTTCATTGCTGTAAGAAGCTCCCAAAGCATCACTATAAAAGTAATTGCAGAACTTGATCAATAGAATGTTGTCTGCACATACTCCAAATATGCTACAAAAGGCAATAATAAATTCGCAGAGACAGAATTCAAGTTATCCTNTCGAAACGGTCCGAAACAGTACCGTTTCGACCGAAACACTGGAATTTTGTGATTCAACTACTGTTTCGTTTCGGAGTGTTGAAATTCCGAAACGTTTCGGACGTTTCGGACGTGTCGACACGACATTTTGATCCTTGATTCAGAGAAGCCACATTAGTAGTTTCAGTAATGTTCAAGAAAATTACTCTGGATATTTTGAGCAACACCGTCAATCAACTGGCCAGTTGAGAAAGAAAGGGGAGAAAGAGAAAGTGAAAGTGATATGGCTATGCAAAATACAGTGCTAAAGCACATAATTTTTTTTATAAACTTGTGTCGGCATCTATTCTATTTAAATGATCATACAGGTGCACTAGAATTTTATTTTTTCCAGTGAATGGAATCAAAATTAAAGAATCGTAAACCTAGTCACGACTTTAACATGCATGGCAATTGTTACAGTTTTTCCCCATATTTTGATAGCGAACTTTCTGATTATGTACCTCAAATATTCTTCATCGTCTTCTGTTGCACCTTTCTTCTTACCATGAGACATCCTTCCAGCACGTGCACCCATACTCTCCCGGATACTTTCATTGAGCGTCTCTTCCAAATTTTCAAGCTCCTCCATAACCTAAGCCAAGTAAAAAATAAAATTAAGAAAATGACTTATATGAGGAAAGAACTACACTGCATCCGAATGCAACAGGAAGAGGTGGCAAATTATAAACCCTTTCACATCAATGTTGTACCTGTGAAATTCGCTGTTCATTCCGGGCAATCTGAGTTTGTTGGCCCTGAGTCAACCCACCTTGAGCAATATCCTTTGAACGAATAGCATCTATTTCTTTCTTCATATTAGCAATCTGTAGTCGAAATACAAAGAGTATTGGTTAACTAGCATGACCATAAATTTTTCATTGCTGTAAGAAGCTCCCAAAGCATCACTATAAAAGTAATTGCAGAACTTGATCAATAGAATGTTGTCTGCACATACTCCAAATATGCTACAAAAGGCAATAATAAATTCGCAGAGACAGAATTCAAGTTATCCTTCCAAAAATTTAATCTTACTCTGCTTTAAAATTTAGAGTTTCCAATCAAAAGCAAAATCATAGAGCATATCAGGCTACAGGTATGTCATGCAGTAACAAGAGGCCATTTATAAGAGGGTGTAACTCAGATAAACATTTTTTTGAGGAGATTTTGGAGAAATTTGATGGTAAACAGTACTACTAAAGGAAACACCTGCAAGAAGTAAACATAATATCTAAGCACTCTGTTTCTAGAAAAAGACCTCCCAAATTCTACAATAGAATCAAATATTCATAATTTTTAAGAACAATTTTAGTCAACTTCAACAAAATAATACTTGTTTCTACGCACCACAGAAAATAGTATAGTGGCATTTCCAACACTCTTAAAGATCTATCTACCTTCTCTCACCTTCAAATGGAGGCCCTAGGGCGAATCCCAAGTCCAGAAGAATGCTAAAACAAGTGAAGATACAATGTGTGGCAAAAACAGAGAGACAACAGTGTACAAAGCAAAGGAGGTTAGTGAGACAGTGGTTATTAGACTACCCAGTGCTAATCAGTAAATTATCGGCAGCCCAAGCACTTCTCTTGGATTCACTACATTGCTGAATTCCCTTCAGGCTCTAACATTGTTCTCCAACCTTCATGTTAGCATTATGGAAACAGAATAATAAACAACTGAGGCCACCTATAAAGCATAATCAATCACACCATCCTATGCATGGAAGTTTTAATCCTTACAGACAGCATTCTCATTGGCTACACAATCAACAAGCCTCAAATCTTATTCATCTTGGCTTTCTACTGAATTAGAGAGTGCTTTCATAAAGCAATTTTCCGGCTCAATACTTCAAAAGCACACATGCCTCAACCGGAACTCAAAACATGAACCTTGTACTACTAGGGTGACAGGAAATAGACTCAAGTGAGGAAACAGGTGATACAATGGTAAAGCAGTTTTCACGAATTATAAGTTATCCACTTCTCTCCTACTCAAAAGTCAAAACCATTCCATTTTTCACCCCTATCAAAGTTTCATGCCTTCTACATTTGTTATAGACACAACGAATCCCAGCAGCATGTTCTGCAAAGATCACTAAATAAAACATGTGACTTGCAGAAAACATGTCAAGTGAAATTGGAGTTACTGACCAAAAAAATTTGGAAAACATAACAAGAGGGGAAATACAGAACAGGTGCAATTTGATGAGAGGGTTTAAATAGTTCCAGAGCCTAACAATGGCTTCAATACAATTGTAGAACACATAAGATGAATAGCACTAAAGAGACTCAAATAAATTTTTACGAGTTGAAGGAAAAAAGCCCACTTACCTTTTCAAGTCTTTTTATAACTTTCTCACGGGTTTTTTCCTGCTTCTCTGTGAGCTGTCCCTTGAACGTTTGCCACGTTATTTCATCGATGTCGTCCTAAATATCCAAAATCATTTCAGAAGTAAAGGAGCAGATCTCCCACTTTCAATGGCTCATCAAAACAAGAAAGAAAAATATTAGGCAAAAATCCTGACAAAGAAATTATTACTTCTTTTTTTTTTGAAGAGGATAAAATGAAATGTGATTACTTAATATACTCTCTCACCAGCAAGCTTAAAGATTGATATGCATTCCTAAAGACGGCACTTGAAAAAAAAAATTTGATGACAATATGACAGAGATTTTTTAGTTTGTATTTGTCATATTGTCTTCTAACAAAGAGATAATCTGATTAACAGCTTTAAATAAAAAAAAGGAACCTCCACATGAACCATTACCAGACAAATTCAAGTGAATAATTAGAAAAATACAACAAAGAAAATTGCCCAGAAAAAAACAACTACTTAGGTATCTAAACAACATGGGGATAAGTTGTCAAAGATATATACATCATGTCGGCACGAAGAAAAGGATTAGGCCGTAACAAAAAATGGGTTCCAAAAGCATAACAAGTACAACAAAAACAAGTCCATGAGGAAAAACCTATCGTCATTCCGTACATTGTATGGTTTTCTTACTTTATCAAAGCATTTCCTTTTTGATTTCTTATCAAATAGGAACAAATAATATAAGATATATCGAAATCAGCCTTTAACTTAAAGAGAAAAGGGGAGCACATTTCCTCTTTTTTGTAAAGAAAGAGGATTACACTAACATAATGAAATCAGCTTTTTTGAAAAGGATCCGCCACCAATGGAGTTACAACTAACTAAATTGACCTGATTTTGATTAAAAGGACCCACCACCAATGGGTTTTTGAGGTGAAGATACAATTGTGTATTTGCAATGGAATTCAAGTCATGTGAGTGAAAGAATATCACGATAGCATTTCAGCAAGTCTTCCAAATTTTTGTCGATAAACAAAATTCAATACCGACAAACTTGGGAATGCTTCCAAACACTAATGGAAGAGATAAGAAAGCCATGCAAACCTCAGTTTCTTCAATAGCATCCTCTTGCATGCCCCATGAGATCCCATCAGCAAGAGATGCGTCCTGTTTTGCTCGTAGAAGTGAAGCTTCCATATCTTGCATCTCTTCTCGTATTTTAGACTTTCTAATACGCTTCAAGTCACCTTCCTTCAACACAAAACCACATAATAAAGTCTCAAGAGAGAAAAAATTCACAGGCACAAGTACAAAGGAACCACCATAACGATGATGAAAATGAAGGACAACCCACAGATGTACACTAAAAAACAAACTGTATCCAATACTAGTATACTACATATCCTCTTCTCCTGCATTGGTACAAAATACAGCTGTGTTACTTTAATATTTAATATTTTTATGATTCTTCTCAACACTAACTCTTTACCACAAACTGAAATGACAAACAGAGAGCTACAATACCCCTCACAGGACACAAAAAGAGCTGGGTGTAAAATCTTTTGTTCAACTGATACCAAGCCGTCCTTTTGATTCTTCCAATCGTAAGTTTGATTATGCTATGTCTTCCTCGCATTTCTCTACAGACTTGCTTTCATGCAAGAGTGTGACCAAGGGCAGTCTAAGAGTAAGTTTATGAAAATAGATATTTGAAATGTTACAAAATGGAAAATTTGTATCCTTGAGCCTAGAGAAAACACCAAGTATGCAGAACATGTTAATGGTGAAATAGATGGGACATAACTTGTCACAAAAGCACCCTAGTAGCCTCAAAGGTAAACTTCCATGATTGCTGACTTCAGGAACATTGAATTATCTCACTAGTTCAATAATGCACATCTATTAAACAGATTGTTTAAGACAAAGGTGAAGGGCTTTTTCGAAGAAGAAAAGGACAAGAAATATAAAAAAAAAAGTCATGAGTCAGCAGACTTACCGGAAGCATCAACTCAGATGGTCCTTGGAATATGTACAGCCGAGATGAACTGTAACAAAAACATATGGCAAGCAATAAAAGAAATAAGCCTAAATATTATAATCATACATGTTATGATGGCACAGTCATCTCTACACAATCATGTACCTCTATTCTTTTCCAACATTAGAACATATCAACAAATATTATACAAATTATTGAAATTGCAAGTCAAACAAGATGCCCAACAGAACTTTAAAAGAAGGATATTTTGTAACAACCACACAACCTATCAAGGTAAGGTAATGCCTCAAAAAGGTCATATTATCATTGAAGCAGAATCAATAACAGAGGAACTACATAACATACATTTCAACAAAAAAGAGGAACTACATAACATGGATAAATCAACACTCTAAGTGACATAAGAGCACTATCTCACCATATGAAATGAAAGAACAATAATTAAAACACAAATATTGAGTAGTTTCCCGCGTTGTTAGATTCAAGTATCAGACACATTCAATGCCAAATGCCAAACACATATTCACATGTCCACATAATATATGGCACCCATAATCCATGCATAATAAGCCTAGCCTACCCAACTAATGTATTGTTTATTAAGGGTAAAGTAGTGCTAATCTTCTAGCTCCGAGAAATGGTAAGCCTAGCCTACCCAACTAATGTACTGTATAGGAGGGGTACCTTAGTGTTAAGCTCTTAGCTTTGAGTTAGGGGTACAGTAGTGCAGAATTCAGAATAACCATACTGTTCATACATCACCATCGGTAGTTGCGCTGGAAACCCAGGCTCCAAAATGGAATGTTTAACCGATCCATTAGTTATCTGACCGGACAACCAAGCGAAGCACTTTCTTGTCTGTCTTACTTACTTTGGAGACATAACTCCGAGCTGAATCCAAATTGACCGCAAAGGTCCCTCATATTGCATGCATGATCATCCAATTTACAGAAACTTCTATCGACCACTGTGGCTACTTTCTCAATCCAGTAATAAGTTAATATAATACCAAAAAGATGCCAGCTATGGGGTATGACGCATATGATAGATTACTTCTACATAGGCCATAACAACCTCAAAATATGAGAGTCTAATATGCTACAGAGACATACATATACAATATATTTTGGCACTTAGCTTAATGAATCTAATATCACCACCTGCAACCTGAACAGAGAAATTTCCACAAAAACACAATACCCAAAAACAACCAACAGTATATATACAACTGAACATTCGTCAAACTGATCATAAGGAAAAGCTAAAGTGTGAGGAATCAAAGCAGTTACTTACTGGCCAAATCGAATCACATCACCAACGTGCAAGTCCACGTAAACATTTTTCTTCACCTAAGAAATGGAAAATGGGAAATGCATAAGGAAAATAATGTTTTGCATTGCTTTTTACAGTGTAAAAAATGCAGATATGATTTGTACAAAAAGAACAGTTTGCTTGCATTTTCCATAAGTATTTGCTTTCGTTGTAGTAGCTATGTACACACAATATTTATCTACCAACAAAAAACTCAAAAATAAAAAGAACTTCAGTAAGGGAAAGGAAGAATGCTAATAAAGAGAAGTACATATACCAGCATACCCAAACAGAGCCTATTTTGGTACACAAGGACCAGATTCACTGGTCATGTCCACAAACTATTGAAACAGTTAAGCCTCATAACAATAATTAATTCCATGCACTTGAAACCAAGATAAAATTTCTGATATGTTTAGCTGTGTCAAACCACCAACTCAAAAAAGGGTAGGACATAAAGCGCATCGCCTATGGGGAAATTGTATTACCAAAACTTGCCATAAATCTGATGCTTCTGATAATTCATTAAAGCTCTGTTGGTATTGCCTGATTATACCATCCAAGGAATGGTATTCTGGAACTAAACCACATTCACTACCAGCACAATCATTAGGGTGTCGAGTGCCCTATGCTTACACCTCAAATACATAGTATGGATTTCGCACACTTAAAAACATAATTCAATCACCCCAGAGATGCAAATGAAACCCACACAGTGAATGTGTGTCATTGATGGGTCATTATCCAAAGATTTCTAAAAAACAGCATGACAATAGAAGTCTACATTCATTCTGATCACTTGTTTTACTTTCTGATCATCCGAAAGCAATTGCATCGGAAACCTCTCAACTCAAACCCGTGTTTCTAAGGTTTGGTAGTTGGGGCTAATTTGAGAGGCATAACACACTGTGCACATATACAGTCAAAAAACAAAAGAACCACTAGGCCACATTAGATGACTTATGAGGTCCCACCAAACAAGTCCATCGGAGGATAACTAGTGCTCAACTTCAACAACAATGCATACAAAAATTGCAAACAAAAAAGTTGTTTTCGAGAAATCCCACTATTACTCAACCCAACTCGATGGCTTCATGTCCCAACAATCTGAGATAGACTGCATGAAACCTTTCCTTCACCACATCAGTAATAGTCTTAAGATTCTGTTAAACCATAAACTACCATATTCTTATTTTCTTTACCTCTACCCTACCGATGACTTTAATTGAACCACATCAATTTCCAAACCGGTGCAGTTATAGAACTTCTTTGAACATGTTCAAACTTAATATCATCTTACTAGATGACTACGCAAGTTTATGAAAGGGCATTTATATCCCACAAAGCAAATGAATGAATTAGTTATCAGCCTACTAGGCATAGGACAAATAATATCACCACGTTGGAATGCAACCATACATAAATGTATACCACGTAGAAACAAGTACTTCCAAGGACAGGACAGTGCGTGGCATGTTCAAGGACTTCGGGATAAAAAAGTTTTCAAGGAGTTTAGGGTATAAAATGAACCAAACAAAATATCCGCAATGAACAAATTTTAAATTTAGGAATGAATATCACAGTGAGATGAAATACCTGGTTCTTGTTTATAAAAGTCCCATGTGTACTAGCCAGATCATAAAGGTGAGCATCTCCATTGCTCTTGAACTGGAGTACTGGAAAATCGGGAACATTGGGTGAAATAATAGCATCAACATCAATCAAATCAGCAAGATACTTACACAATATTCATCAAGTTCATTGCTTGCATGCTGATGAATGAAAATCAAATAGCTACAAAATACTTGATCAACAAGCTAGTTGATCCTCATACTAAGAAACAAGTTATCATCATGCATCAAATCAAGTCTGATTCAGAGTAAATTCAATATAAGCTACAATGATGGGCCATCTACAAAAACATATCAATGAATTAATAGAAATGAAATTCTACCAAAAAGAATACAAGCTCCTTAGGCGACCAACATAACTAGAATGTGTAAGATAGTTCTTAAATCATTACATGTTTTAGTTGATTTAGCTCCACTGGGTTCGTTACTGTCCTCTCGTATGTTTCATGCATGCTTAAATTGCAACCCCCCCCCCCTAAAAAAAAAAAA